AATCCTGTCTTCTATATCTGATATTCTATCTCCAGATTTCCTTCTTTCAATGGAGTTTTTAATCTCCTGAATATGTTTGTATCTGTTTCATGCATTCCATTTCTTTCTTATGTTGGGCGATCATGGTTTCCATTTCTTTGTTATGGTGAGCATTCATGGCTTCCAGCATATTTCTGAGGTCATGTATTTTTTTTATCAGTTTCTGTTCTAGACCCTCTAATCATGTGTTTCACACTGCTCACCATCTCTGTAGTTATCTGGGTGATTCTTTCTGTTTTGAGTTTTTCCAGAGCCTCACTCATCTGTTTTGTTACCTCCTGTGCTGTCATTTCAGAGTGTCCAGGTGGTTGATTATCAGACTTTTCTACCTTGTTTCCCCCAGAATTTGCCTTTTGTGGGGTGGAAGTCTGAATTTGTGGCCTACTTAAATGTCTTCTCATTTTTGTTTTTGGTACTTCTTTGGTTTACTTCTTGGGTTGATACTTTGAAGTTGCTTATTTTAAGTATCTTTGTTCATGTATTTAGAACCCTTATGAAATGATTGCTTCTCAGAGGTGTCTCCAGATATAGTTGGTCTTTAGGCTTTGAGTCTCTATTGGCTCTGAGGCTATCTCATTTTTATTATCCCCGGAAGGACAACTGATTAGATCAATCACAACACCTTACCCCAGTGATACAGTCAGCAACACAATAACATCAAGTACCTCTTAAAAAATGACAATTTTGGGTAGTTATTAATCTATCACCTTTAACTGTGCAAATTAAATCAAAATCAAGGACCAATCCAACATATTTTTATAGTGAATAATCTCTTCAATATAACAACTTTACCCTTTGGGATGGGGAGTTACAAGGAGTTGGGGAGGGAGGGATAGGTAGGTGGAAGGATAGTGGAAGGTTTGCAGTGAGGCCAGAGGACACAGGCCAGAGAAGGAAAGAGAAGAAAAGAAAAATGAAGAAGAAATATGGATTATGGCCTGAACAGGAACACAAAAGGAGATGAAGAACAATGTGGGACAGTAAGGAAGTGAGGGGGAGAGAGAGAAAGAAAAGGAAAGAAACAAAAAAGAAAAAGAAAAATTTTAAAAGACTAGAAAAAGAAAAAATATTAAAAATAAGAGCAAAAAGATAGTGGTAATTTTGAAAATAACAAATAAAAGATAAAAATGAAGGGCCTCCTTCAGGGTATGTCTCTTCTGTCACAATAGACAATGTGGGTAGCAGTGTTCAGTTATAAGTCAGTGAGTCTCATTAAGCCAGTCGCAGACCTGTGAGATTCAGGCAGATTTCGGATTGCAAGTCCCAAGTTGAGCTCCCTGTCCTCCTGCAGGATTGAATGTGCAAGGTTGTATTGCAGGTTCCAGCTGTCTTTCGCCTGAAGATAGTCCAAATTCTGATGGGAAGTGATGATCCCTCCAACTTACCAAGTACGGTGGTCTAGTACTGCCTTTACTGCAGAGATTCTCTTCACTTTTCCAGTGGGCTTCAATTTTCAGGAAGGAGCCTGAGAGAGGCCCTCTTTCTGTTGTTCACTACCGTCCTATTTTCTGGAGCTCACAACAATGACTTTTGTGATGCTCTATACCTCTGTAGTGTGGAATCAGGTACCAGCCCAGCCAGGAGGCCAGAAGCGGGGGGTCGGGGGTGCTGCAGGTGCCCCCTCGGCTCAGCTGGTCGATGGGGGCCAGGGCTGATCATGGGCAGGAGAGAGCCCTGGTCTATGCCGCCGAGGTCCTCACCATTCCCTCACTGGTCGCTGGGAGGCGCGGGGTGCGACTGAGCCCACCTCCACATGGCCGAGGTCCTTCCCTTGTTGGTTGCTGGGGCATGGGGAGCCTGTGGGAGGAGGCCCCGCTCCACACGGCGGAGGTCCTCTGTCTGCTCGCTGGTCGCTGGTGGTCTCAACATTGTTTTAATTCGCATCTCATGAATGACTAGTGATGTTGAAAATTTTTTCATATATTTATATGCTGCTTCTACTTTTTCATCTGAAAAGTGTGTATTCATTTCAGATACCCATTTTTGGATTTGGTCTTTAAATTGCTGGATCTGATGTTTTTGAGTTCTTCACATATTCTAGATTCTAGTCCTTTGTCTGGGGAACATCTGGTAAAAACATTTTCCCACATTGTGGTTATTCTCTTCACTCTGTTGGTGGTTTCTCTTGCTGTGCAAAATCTTTTTAATAGTATGAGATCCCAGTTTTTGATTCTTTGTGATAGTTCCCCTGTGACTGAGGTTTTGTTCATAGTCTTTGCCTAAGCCAATATCTTCAACCTAATCTATCTCCCAGCAGGGTTAGTGTTTCTGTTTTAATATTTAGATCTTAGATCCATTTCCATTTTAGTTTAGTGCATGGTGAAATATATGGGTCTAGTTTTAATCTTTGGCAAGTTGAAATGCAGTTTTTCCAGCACCATTTATTAAAGAGACTATCTTTCCTCCAGTGAAGGGTTTTGGCTCCTTTGTCAAAGATAAAGTGGCTGAGTATGTCTGGAGTTATTCCTGCATCTTCTAATCTTTTCCATTGATCCTCAGACCTGGTTGGTTTGTTTGTTTGTTTTTTGCCAGTACCATGATGCTTTTATCACAGTAGCTTTGTAGTATAATTTCAAGTCAGGGATTGTGATGCCCCCTGCCTTACCTTTGTTGCCCAGAATTGTCTTTGCTATTCTAGGTGTCTTATGTTCCAAATGATTTTTTTTTTTTGGTACCAGGATCAATCCTGGGACCTTGCGCTTGCAAGGCAGGCAGCCGTATCACTGAGCTAAATCCCTGGCCTGGTTCCAAATGAATTTTAGGATTGTTTTTTCTAATTCTGTGAGATATGCTGTTGGGATTTTGATTTGGATTGCATTAAATCTGTATCATTTTTTTCTTTTAGGATTAGGTTGCTGGGTCAGGCCTGTGGTGGCACATGCCTATAATCCCAGCACTTGTGAGGCTGAGGCAGGAGAATTGCCACAAGTTCCAGGCCAGCCTGAACTACATAGTAAATTCAAGGCCAATCTGAACTATATAGCAAGACCCAATCTCAGAAAACAAAAAAGAAAAAACCCCATAAAAAAACAAAAAAGTATTAGGTTGCTTTTCATTTTTTCCTTTTTAAAAATAATAAAATTATTTTAGCATTGTCTTTTTGAAAAAAAATTTTCCTTTACGATTGTTGTAACATTTTGATATTGATTTACCTTAACTCTGTTACTGTTTTCAGAAGGTATGAAGTCATTACACTTCTTGGTGCAGGAGAAATTTCAGATTTTATCTTAGTAATTTATGAAGTCCCCTTCAGTCATTCATCACAAGAATGCCTTTAGTTAAATCTGTGAGATTTTAAAATAATGTAGGATGAAAATTGTTTAAATCTTAATGATATAGTAGTTGTAATTTTTGCTTCATTTCTTTAAACCAATGAGAATTTGATTAGTCTGCAAAGTTTTTAATAGTCATCCCTGTATTCCCCAGTCTCAAGAAGAAATGCACATATACTGTACTAAAAGACCTCTAAAGCTCTAGTGTAGGATTTGATTAAAATATTTAATTACTGAGAGGATTGTGTCTTTCATACATCAAATAATTGTAATTTGAAAAGCTGTGTAACATTATGACTTGGAATTAGTTATTCTTGAATCAAACACCTTCATTTTATTAAAAAGTCTTAATGATGTTTGCTATTATTTTTAAAAATTTAATTGTAGGATTAGCATCTAACCATTTCAGTATATTATAATCTTGCATGTTTTGGTTGGGCTAAGCATAGTTAGATTTACATTCTCTTGAGTGATTTTTATAGGATTAATGTGAGATTAGATTTGTGCTTGCTGATGAGATATCATTTCTGATTGACCTAATAAATACTTTAGAATATATTTGAACTTTGTCCTATATATACCTGGATGAGAATTTCTGCATTGCCACTTCTTAGCTGTGTGACTTTGAGCATGCTGCCTAATTTGAGCCCAAGATTTCTCTAAAAATGGGGGAAAGAATCCGTTTTCTGGGCCGGGTATTTAGTTTAGTGGTTCTGCTGCCTGCTTCACAAGTGCAAGGTCCTGAGTTTGATCACCAGTACCCCCGCAAAAAAAAAAAAAAAATCCCTGTTTTCCAAGATTGTTGTGAATTTTAACTGAGTTTGTGAGTATGTAGTCAGAGTGGTAGTAATCAGTAGTAACTGATCAGTAAGATATAACTATTACTTCACAAGCAATATAATTTTATGTTAACCTTAGGAATTGTTTTATAAAATACAAGTTTGCTGATATAAGTATAGATAGTATATCATATAGGTCATGAAAATTTTTGTTCTTAAAAGAGTTGAAGAAGAACTATTTCAGATTTTTCTGATTGTATTTCTTATAGGGTTTAGTTTATTACTTGATGTATTTTGTGCTCTACATGGACCAAGAGAAAAATGTGTTGAAATTCTGAGGAGTGGTCACTTGTTAGCTATTTTACCAGGCAGAGTTCAAGAAGCCCTAATTAGTGATGAAACCTACAACATCATATGGAGTAATCGTAAGGGCTTTGCTCAGGTTGCAATCAATGCAAAAGCGGTAAGCCATATAAAATTGTTCAAGTAAACTTAGTTAAATGAAAAATAAATTTTTATGGACCCAAAATACATAAGAACTTAGATAACAATTTGTATGCTCTCAATAGAGAAATATTCCTTGTGCATGGGATATCATATTAAATAAAATTAATCTGGAAATTTGGTAAATATTCAGCAAGGTTTTTTTATCAAAGTTCAAAATCCAATTTCTTTTCATGAGAGTAATATTATACAAATAATATTAGTTACACTTCCTTCATTTACACTTTCTTCCTTCAGTTACACTTTTTTCATAAGTATAAGCAATCAATTGTATGTATTTTAGTCCTTTGGTACTTTTAGTATGAATGAGTTGATATATTTCAATGATGGTTTTGGTTTCATAATAATTTTTTGTGTGTGACCAACTTTTATAATAAGACCTAGATAATATATGATTTCTATCATTTTCATCAGCAAATATGATAAGCTACGTAATAGTAAAAAGATAATAGACACTGCTGTAGTTTAGATATTTCTTAAAGACTTTCCAAATGAATTTATCAGTAAATTAAGTGTTCCTCTGTGATTTACTGTAATTATTCTACCTAATAGACTGAACAATGGAATGTCATTTTGTTTTTCTTTTGCCTTTGGAAAGTATTTTTCGGCATTTTGGTTTTCATATTGTGCTTTATTCTATGAAACAATTATCTGTTACTTAGGAAATGTCTCTCCTTTGTTTTCTGTTTATTTTTATTTTAGACTGTCTGAAAGAGAACTTTTATTACCTTTCATAGAGTTTTTTTGTTCTTTTTCCAGGCCTACTACATAGAGACTGCTGCTAGTAACTTTTATATTTCAGTTTTTTTTGTATCCTAGCTGCTGCCACATAAAGAGACCAGTCCGCGTCTTTAGCTTGACTACCCATCTGTAGACCGTTGATTAAAAAAGGAAGATTATAGACAACTCATTCTAACCAAAAAATAATATTTGAAGAATAGATATTTTTATAATTTAATTACAAAGTTTACAATAAAATAAAATGCAATGATCCTTTCTTGTTCCTGTATATATGTATATGTAACTCTTTGAAAATTATTGCTGTATCTTAATAATGTCATCCTAGTTCAAGTGAATATTGTTGCCCAAATATTTAGGTAACATAACAATTTAAATAGTATTATCATGACAAAGATTTCATATTCAAGTTCTTACTATAATGACCAGCTTTGAGTAGGCTTTTTAAGTGTTAATTTTATTGAAGCAACTTTTAAAAAAAATAGACTGTTAAGTGTTAAGGCTTCTTTTCAGCCTTTTGAATTTAATTTTGTTAATAGTGTTAGTAAACATTAAGGCTAATCAATATAATGTATTATTAAAGCAATAATATAAACTAAAAGCCTAATTAAACTAAAACCTATAGATGATTCACTTTTTACATTTATATTTTTAAAGATAATTTCTTAAGATAACAAAAATAGATTTGCAATTACATGAATTTGTCATGGAATTTTAATTCTTTATCCTTAAGTTTATAATTTTAAGTAGGATGTTGCTTACAAGAGGTTTGAGAGAAAGATTATACAGGAAGAAGTTTTTCTAATCCTTGAGTTTCTAGATAATCAGTTAAAATAATCTCAATACTTTAGTTAAGATTTGTATATAAAACTTCGGAAAATTTAAGAAATAACCTTTATACATTTGAAAACAAAAATCTTTAACATTGTACATTCACAAAGTAACGTTTTAAGTTTGAAAAGTATTGTGCCAGCCCAACATTTTATAGGTCTTTAAAGACTGACCTTGGTACTCCTGTGTAATAAGGAGGTGATGTATGTAATTATTCCAATGTTACAGATGAGAAGACTCAGGCACAGAGAGATGGAGGGATGGAAGGGATCTGGTCACAAGCAAGGCAGCAGCAGAGCAGAGCACACAGTTCAGGACTCGAGCCAATGGCTGTTGGCATCCCTGACTGCATTTCACAGTGAGTCTGCTGACATCTGAGACTAAAGGGCCCTTCCACGTAATGTGAGGGAAATCTTTCAGTAATGTATGGATGCAGTTGTAGATGACACAGAAATCCCATCTGGAAAATTCCTTAGTTGGCCTCACAAAATTATTATAAGTAAAAAATTTAAGACTATTGTTAAAGGATTATCTACCGTTAAATTGTGACCTACTAGGCTTCAGGGTGTAACTCAGTGGTAGCGTGCCTGCCTAGCAGGTATGAGGGCCTGTGTTCAATCCCTAGCACTGCAATAAATAAATAAATGTGATGTACTAACATAAAAAGAAAAATCCAGATTGTTAATACAGCTCACAAAATACCGGTAGAAAATATGTGCGGTTCATTTGAAGTAACAGTTTTTTGATATGTACTATAAATCATTCTTATTTTACAAATTGCTGAGCATTAGGGCTTTGAAAAAGATTTTAGGTAATTTAATATTTAAATAAGGGGGAAAACTACCTTTTTAATTGGAAAATAAATGTAAAAGATAACATTTGTATTGATAAATTGTTAATTCGTATTATCTCAATGCATAAAAACCCATTGAGCTAAAGATAATTATTTATCCTTATTTTATACATGGAGAAAGACTTAGATGTGTGGTAAGTAATTTGTCTAGTGGTTCTTATGTTTTTAGTAGCAGAAGCAAGACCCTAGGAATATGCTAAACTGATTCCCCAAGAATAGTTTTAAAAATACACATTCTGTCTTCCATGTGTACACAGACATACATGGAGACACATGTATATATGTAAATAGTTGCACTGTATGATACTTACACATCTATCTTGTATACATAGTGTATACAAGGAAAGATTTAATATGATTATACTACCCAGTCAAGCTGTAATAAGCTAATGGTTGTGGCTAAGAATGCAAACTTGAATGAAAATTTAGAAACCATAGGGAATACTGAGCCTGCTAAGGTACACTTTCTTCTGTACTATCAGTAGGTTCTAGAAATGTCTAGACTCCAGAGAGTTAGCTATTTAAGGAATGATATTGAACCCGAATGATCTATAGAAGTGCATTCTTCAATACGTACTTCTGCGATCATGCCAGTCAGTAGACATAAGTCTAGCGGTACTGGTCAAGGGAGGTAAAACAGTAAATCTATGAGCTGTTTTCTGTTCTCTCTTGGGCAGTTTAGGTTCTTGACTCTAAAGACATTTTATAACTATTTGTAGACATTTATTATAGACATTATATATTTATAGACATTATTATAGACATAGCTATTAGGATTTCACCATCATTTTTAAAATTTTTATAAAACTAGTGCTTCCTAGTTTGTTTTTTTACAAAAGAATTTACTGTACTATACCTTCTTCTTTGTTAAATTAACTCTATGAAATTTTAAATTCTTCACCTCTTTTTCTTTACTGACTTTTCTTCTTCTTGATTTTGGGATCACACTGGGTATGTCTGCTCTTTGTTTTCAGAGAATACAAATTAATTCATTAGAAGCATTGCCTCTGTTCTGTTTTTTCATTCCTTCTTTAATTCATCCATCACTTCACTTTCTTTCAACTCCTCATCAATTCCAGGTACAAGATTCTAGTGTTAGGGTTACAACAGTGACCAAAACAATGTCCCTAAAATGTATTAGCTGTCTTCTCTTCTGCTCAGAGGAGAGATTCAGGAAGTGATTGGTTAGTTCTGTGGAAGGGCTTAAGCATTATGAAGAAATCTGTACTTGAGTTTTCTTTCATTTGGTGTATGAGTAAGAATGAGTTCTAAAATTTTAGCTTATTTAAATATATCTCAAATCCTGCTTGTTACAGGTAATTCTATGTTAGGCGTATACATGCTACTTTACATACATGCATACACACACACAGTTTTTTCTATTCTAAAACATTTAGTATATCTGTATATATTAAAGTGTTTTATCTATTTCAGTATTCTTAGTAGCATAACCTCCCTGTGTACTATTTCATGATATTTCATGATTTTATGATGTTTAGTCAATGTTTTCATTATTAAAATCACATTTAATCATTAATATTCATGGAAAAATAAAAAATCATGACCCAGTGAGCAGAAATTCTCTGAAATTAATGATATAAAGGAATTCTTAAATATATATTTTCCATTTTTTTCTTGGTAGTGAGTCTTATACTAACTTTTTGTGAATGTTGAATGTTTTACATTTAATAGACTTTTAAAAAATGATATTTTACTAATTCCATGAATTGCACAACAGCATCTTGCCAAAATCTGTCATTTAAATTTATGTAACATTCCCCTTAGAATCTTTATCTTATAACTTTTCTTCAGCGACTATACTATTCAGTAGCCCACTAAAGCAAATTTACCAATTTACATTAATTTTATTTAATGAAATTATACTGTAATCTGTAGTTTGAGTTTTAAGGGTTTGTATGGAATGTTAGCTGATTTGTAAATGAAATATTACATATTACCACTAGGGGGTAGTGTTTATATTTTTACAAATGATTAAGTTGAAATTAGCCTGGTATATTTTTACAATTTATATTTTTACAAATGGTTAAGTTAAATTTAGTCTGGTAAATCACATTAGTTAAGTGTGCCTCTATTTTTAAAATCTTATTTTTATAATTTCAAACAGGCCTTCAAAAGTTTGCCTTAATGACTCAATAGAGTCATTGAATAGATTTATTTACTTTTTTAATTTAAATTCTTTTCTTTAGCCCATTATCCCTATGTTTACACAAAATATTCGAGAAGGATTTAGATCACTTGGAGGAACAAGTAAGTTCTGATTAATATGCTTTTTACTTGCAATATATACTTAAAATATTTGAACTTTTGAACCCTATAAGGAATCCTTTTGGATTAACTTTAGAAAATGGATATATTATTTAGATTTTATTATATAAACCTAAATGATAACTGGCTCTAAGCAATGATGATTCTTAGATGTTATATTTTTGTTACATGTATATATGGTGCATATATATAGGAGCTTATTTGTAAGGAGCTTTTCAAAATTTCAAAACAATTTATCTAATTAATACAGTAGCATTATTATAATAGTATTAAATCATGTTGATGAGGTTTAGAAAAAATTTTATATACTATCTTTTTAACTCAGCCATGAAGAAGTTACCAGTTTTAAAAAGGATGACACTATGTGTTAAAATAAGATTAACAACCTAAGCAGGTATCATTTGTTCTGGTTTATAATTCAACTTTAAGAAAAAAGTATGTTTTAAATGATAATATATTTAATTGAAAGTTCTTTTATCTACCTTTAATTTACTGGTTAAAAATAAGCTTTTAATCCAGTTATAGCAATGATAACAATTGGATATGTCTTTTCTTTGCAAATGTCTGTTTTCCTACTTTGCAATTTTCAGTTTAACCTATATTGTGTTCAATCATTTATTTTATATCCCTAGCACTATTGTTACTATTTGTATACACATGAGCGAGTCCTCCTTTGAAGAACTTTAAATTGTTCTTTAATGTCTAATGTTGCTATTTGTTCATACTCTCTTGTGATTTTTGTCTTAATTTTCTTCTTTTTTTCAAATTTAAAGTAGAAAGGCAGATTGTTATATTTAACTTTTGTTGTAGAGTTCTTTCAAATTTTCTCTTAGCCTATCTGTTCATAACTTAAATGGCAAAGCAGAAATTATTCCAGAAATGTTTTCTTTAATCTTAAATTAGCGTTAAAATTCATTTGAACTGTTTTTTATTTTTCTTGAACTTGAACCTCAGTATGTCAAAAATTAGGATATAGTGGTTTAGTTAACACTAAAAAAGTGTTACTTTGGATCTGATGGTGAGTTTTGTATTTCTATACATTAACAGTGTTTTCTACTTTCAATAATAATACATGGCTGTATAGTATAGTCCATCTGGCTTACCTTTTATGGATTTCTTTAATGCTATTTTTTAAACTTACTTCATCAGTTTACCTTACATTTTTAACTACTTTATATTTAATTCTGCTAAATTTCATACTTGGTCATTAACATTAGTAAGTTTTATTTTTGATGTGTTAGTTTTGTTTTTTCAGTGTACTATCATGTATGTTTAGCCTGTAAGTACTTTATTGGTTCATGGTAGTCTTTCAGGTTTACCTAAACTTATTTTACTCACTCCTACCTCCTACCCCCACTTTTAGGTCACTTAGTTTGAATCTCTAGAAAATTTAGTTACTACCATTTGGTTGCAATCTTTACTTTTTGTTTGGTAATAATAATTGGTTTGTCCTTTCAAATTCTCATATTTTAAAACCTTATCTTTTTTAAGTTAATAAAATTGAACAGGAAATATAGGGGATTCTTATATATTTCCTCACCATTCTCTAGTTTTCTCTATTGTTAATATTTACATTGATGCAGTACATTTGTTGCAACTGATGAAAGGTTGTCTTTTTAAAATATTTTATTTTCAAGAAGTGATATTTTTCTATTTTCCTATAAATCTTGCATAATTAATTTAAAAGCTTACAGTTATATACTCACAATATTTAACAATAAAAATGATTTTGTCTATTTTAAAACAGGGTTATTTAGATGGCTTTATGAAAAATTCCGCTATCCATTTGCTCCAATGTATGGGGATTTTCCAGTGAAGTTACGGACCTATTTAGGTGACCCCATTCCCTATGATACAAAGATAACAGCAGAATTAGCTGAAAAGGTAAATTATTTTTTCTTTCTTAGTCTTAGGACAGATTTTCATTTTCAATTATTATATGTAAAATGACATTTATTAGCTTATATATTTGTTTCTATATGTAAGATTTTGGAAATACTGGGATAGAGTTAGGGAACAAAGTTAGAACGGTACTGAAGATGCAGAAGTCATTAACTCTGAGACTATTTCTGAACCTTGGAGGTTTACAAGGCAAATTAGAAAAAGAGGACTGAGAAAAGCTGCAGGAGATGTGATATTTAAGCTGTAGGCCAACAACAATTGAACCCAACTAGAGGGGAACTAGCAGAGAAGGAGAACAGGTAAATGTGTATGACAAAAGTCAGTGGGTGAGGTTTTTAAAAGAGTGAGAATTATCAGTAATAGTTCTTACAAAGGAAAATACCCATCATGCACAATTCCAAGGAGGAGAGGTCCTCCCTGGCTTACCATTTCAGTCCACAGTTGGCTGACTTCTAGGCAGAGAAAGCATGGGGGAAAGGCATGGAGGAGGAAAACTGTTCAACTCATTGGCATCCAGGAAGCAGAGAAGGGGAGGAATTGAATAGGTCATATGCCCTTCTACATTATGCCTCCAATAACCTGTCTGTTTTGGCCAGGCTGCACCTCCTAACAGTGCATTCAGCTAAGAACTCATCAGTGGGTTAATTCACCGATAAGTGTAGCACCGCATGATCCAATCACCTTTCAAAAGCCTCATTTCTGAATACATTGGACTTTTGGAAGACATTCTAGATCTAAACCTAAACCCTACCTTATGACTGTACTTTCACAGAGTTTAAAACTACAAAAAAGCAATAAATGTCATATTACTGAATCTCTTTAAAAATGGGATGAATGTGTTTGGTTATGATTTTTTTAGCAGCTTTTAGTATATATATTAGTCTGATTTATTTAAAAAATTTAAGTTGTTATAGAAAAACACATAAATTTACCATCTGAACCATTTTTAAGCATAAAATTGAGTACTGTTAGGAACATTCACATCGTTGTATACTAGATCTCTAAAATTCTTTCACCTTGCAAAATTCGCCCTACTCCCACTGTGTAGGGAACAGGAAAAGGGGACTTTACTAGAACCTCTGCAGTAAATACTAGTCTCCTGCAAACCACAACAGCACAAGGCTAATTAATTTATTATTCAGGAAAGGTTGAAAAAGTGAGATTTTGAGAAGAAGCTGAGCTTTGGGCCCGATCAGTGCTGCTCTGGGCAGCAAAGACAAAAGCCCCTGTGCTTGCCACATCTTTATTCAGTACATCAGGAGAAACAAATGTGAGATGACTCAGGGCAGGGAGTTCAGTACATCAGAGTAACAAATGTAAAAGGTCACTTGGGCAGCATGGGGCAGTGGTGGCAGTGGAGGCAAAAATCCTAGAACAATGAGGAACTATGCAGATGAAGATTTTGTACCTCCCAGAGTGTCTTTAGCTGGGGTAATCTTCTCCTGGGACATCACAGCATCACCAGACCATTGGGGTCTAGCTGTGACCAGAGGCGAAAATGGAGTTATGTCTCAACATGCCATAGCTGGCCTGTCGGTGTGAAAAGCAGGCCCTAATCATGATTTAACTGTGAAATGATTTTTCCTCAAAATCATGTGGAATTGCTTCTGACACCACTGCAACCCAACATCCCGTTTTTCCCTCCCCTCAGCCCCTAACAGGCAGTATTCCACTTTTGCTTACACTGTTTTTGAGTGGAACTGTACAGTTTTTTCTTGTGATTGACTATTTTTTTAACTTAATGTCCTAAGATTCATCAATCTTGTAGCATGTGACAGGATTTTCCTTTTCTTAAAGCTTAATAATATTTTCATTGTATGTATTTACCACATTTTCTTTCTTTTTTTAATTCTTTTATTGGTACATTTTAGGTATACAATACGTTTACGTTTATCATTGGGTGCTTGTACTGTTGGGCCTAAATCCCCAACAGCGATAATCACCCTAGTCACAACATGATGTAAATTCCGCAGAGAACTTTATTTCCAGCCTGGACCAAATTTCCTGCAAGGAGACTGGCCCTGGACTGAACTTTTGGTCAGTTTTTATGAAGAAAACCCTTTCCTCCTCCTCCCCTCCCTAGCCCTGAAGTAAGCATGTCTACAGAAGTGAGAAAGAATGTGTGGTTAGCACCTCTGGGTTACCAGATACATAATGTAAAACCAGCCCTTATAAAATGTAAACACACATCCTGTTATTTGTTTTTTAGGACAGGTGGGTCCCATATGTGCCCTGTGGTTGTTTGTCTAAACCCTTAAGCATCAATTAAAAGCAGGAGTATGGGCACAAGATAAGAACATCTGGTGTGTTGAGACATCACACAGGAGTACAAACGTGAGATAAGATTCCCCCCCTTTCAGAGTTCACACAGAGGACAGTTTTCCCATCAGGACTGGGGCTGTTCAGACAAAATGGAGTCTCCTAAGCTAACTTAGGTCTCTCATTACCTGTATATTACGTATCTTAGTTCTTATTTTTTTCCCCATTGTGTGCCCTTCACCCCTTCCACCCTTCCCTATTTACATAAATTTCATTTCCTTTTTTTTTTCTTTTCTCCTGTTTCTTTTCCCTTCTTCAGTTTCCCCTTCCCCTCCAACCACCCCTAAACCTTTGGACCATTTCCTATTTCAATTTATAAATTATTCACTTTAATCCTTATTTACACTTTCAGTTTCTCACACTAGAGAAACTATTTGGTATTTACACGTGTCCTATTTATTTCACTTAAGAGTATCACCTCAATATGCATCCATTTAGCTATAAATGCCTAGTTTTTCATTCTTTATGGTTGGGTATTACTCCATTTTATAAAAAAACCACATCTTCTTTATCCACTTTCCAGTTGATGGGCACTTGGGCTGTTTCCAAG